ATTTCGACCGCGTATATAAAAATAATAAATAATAAAAGACTCTGTAAATATAAAACAAAATGAAATGTTATAATCATGATTATTTTAATTATCTTTATGTTTTAAATTAAACGTTCTTTATTACATAACTGGCTCTTAGCCCTTCAATTGTTCTATTTTTAAAAAAATTTAATTATATTAAATAAATTAATATTTAATATAATTTACTTACACAATATGGTTATTTACTTTTTACGGCTATCCTCTTTTTTCTGCGGTCCTACAGTAATTCGTCCGCAGAAGTCAGTTTTGTTCCGCTATTTTCGATACGCGATAATTTCGTTCCTATGGTCCCATGAAGCGGAATTAACGTAAACGGATCGGCGGTTTACCAATCATACAACTGTTTAGATGAAGGCAAATAAAGAAAAATAACAAAACTCGTTTTATGATTGACTATCCGCCTGATCCGCTTACGCGAATTTCGCTCCATGGGACCAGAGGAACGAAATTTTCGCGCATCAAAAACAGCGGAACGTCCGCGATTGGTCAGATTTTCGATACGCGCGATCCGCGATACGCGCGATACGCTCCATGGGACTGCACCCTTATTCTGCAGTGTATCTGCGTAGTCTGTGGGTACGTTCGCGTGGATACAATTCATTTTATGCCGCAAAGGCTTTGAAGCATTCTTTGATTGGTCAATTTATAAAAGGCTGCGTTCCGTTTCACGCATGATGTGCATAGGTCTGTTCGCGTTGCTTGCACTTTTGGCACTCGGCATCTTCGCTTTCTCTCTTTTCAAGGCCAAATATATATCTATCTCATTTTAAGTGCAAAAATATTTGGGGATTTCATGCAACGCGAACAGACCTCATATGTATCATGTTTTATCTTTCTTTAATATTTGGTGAACAACAAGGATAAAATGACATCATGCATACCATACGTGAAACGGAACGGACCTAAATTCTTTCTTCTGATTGGTCAACGAAGCATTTACAGCGAGTGGGTCGCACCCTGTGACAGGCGTGAGTCAGTATACTGTACATATATGTATGTACGCGTATACGTATATATATTTATCAATGAACTCTATGCCACGTTGGCAGTTTGGTACCATTTAGTATTGCACCGTATTTTCATAGGAAAAGTGTGATTCCATCAATTTATGCGTGCCAATATTTTTTAATGTTGAAAATGTGAAAATGTCGGTATGACAAAGTACTGAAGGTGTTGAACGAAATTTCTCAACGATTCAAAGTGTGAGTTCGAACAACGTGCTACAGGGTGGGGCGAGAGTAAAAGGTGGTAAAAGTAAGAAGCAAGATTGGGCTGCCTCGCGTTTACGACTTGACGTCAATCGGTGATGATCACGTATCGTTAAATGCTGAATCGTTCAACAACGATTTCGTTGTTAGTGCTTTGTTTAATAGTAGCGTAAATGGTGAGAGAGACAGTGTTCTAATTGTATGGATTTCACGTGTTAGATAGTGATGTCGTCAGACATGAATCTGTTTGATTTACTGGAGGACACGTTTCTCAAAGGGGACGTTAAGGATGAGCTACTAGTTGACCATAATTATGGCGACGTCATCGCGGTGAGTTTCCCGGTTTGCCTCGTTTGCCTACAATTCCATCTGTAAGCTTCTAATGCACTTACTGTGCCGCGAGTGGCTCATGTTTGACAGCTTATTTTGATCTTCAAAACAGACTTAACCATACCTTCTCTCGTAATGCTTAAGAAAAACATATGTTTAGTTTA